ATTTTGGATAGTATGTAAGAATGATAGAAAATGCTTATTTTCCAAAACTCCACACGACTGACTCAGACTGCCTCTCCTCCATCCTTATTCATCTCCAAAGCAGCATTTCTTTCAGTCTTAGTGTTTTAATAAATGTTAGGAACAGCAGTCTGTGTGGACAGCAGAAGGACTTTTTTGCTGTATTTCAGAGGTATGGAGCACAGAGCCCTCTTTGAAGGAGAAGCTGTGGTGAGGTTGAGCCTCTCCTGCTTCTAGAGTGAAACCTTCAGCAGAAACACCTGCTGGGCTCTCCTCCTCTTCTTCCTCTTCTTGTGGTCGACCTGGCTGTAGGGGGGGAGACTGAAGACCTGGTCAGGGGTCTTCATCTTCTACTGCTGCTGCTGAAGGACCTGGCAGGCAGGCAAGATGGCACATTGCCTGAATTTCAAGATGTCCCTCTGTACTGGATGAAAGATTGAAGACAGAGAAGGACAGCCATATGTCACTGCTGAAGGTCTCACAGGGGGAACAACTTTCAAGTTTTCTCTTTCAGCCACTGATGCTGAGTCTGTTTGAAGTGAATACGATCATTTTGAATAAGTCATTATGTGTAAATAAATGGAAAAGTCTGTTCAGGGAAGGTATCCATGACTCTCAAGGATGTCAGCACCTCCAAAGTTTTTAACTATAAAATAATCATTTTGCATTTTTCTCTTTCTGCTCAAGTATCTGTGATTTGAAAATTCATTTGTTAACTACGAAGGGGTTAAATGCTAACATTAGCTGTGCTCTCATTTTAGCAGACAGTCAACTTCGTTTTTTAATGTAAAAAAATGGCTGGATCTCTGCCTTGACTATCACCATCTATTGTCTTTGTGGCTGCTTATGAATCAGGAAGCAGCGTTTCCAACCCTGGGCTTGATGAAAAAGGAAGACAGCTGCCATTGTTAGGTGACCTGCAAGCATCTTAAAGAGCTTTGAAACTTAAGGACTGAGGTTTAACAATACTTCATAATTAAATTAGTTTTAATATGAGTTAACAGTGTTATTCTGCTGCACAAAGAGGTATTTGTTTTTCTTTGTTACAGTTTTAAAGCTCATGTGAGGAACTTTTAGTTTGTCAATTTTGGCGCCCCCCTCTGGTCATATCTTATCCTCTACATACTACAGTGTCTTCCTATCAATCATTTCCTTTGAATGTCTCTTTTTTATGACTAGTTTATGAGGAAATTGTAAAAACAGGACTGTTTCTTTGGCTGCTCAACTGACACATACCCTCTCTCTCCAGTCTCAGGCTTTAAAAATTACAATATAAAAAAGTCACTCTTGTCACTGATGGTTTTGTTTGCTTTTATACACCATAAAAAAGCATTAATGTGAATTTCAACCCTTATTTTTTTTTTATAAATGTTTAAAAACTGATCTCAAGGGCTTTTAAATATAAGGATGTAGTTTATTGGTTGGATTGCTGTGGCCCCAAGTTATTGTCTTTCAGCTGTCCGGTTGGTGGTTTGATTTCTTTAGGTGTCTTTAGGTGAGACAAAGAAACCCAAAAATCTTCCAACAGCAAAGCCGTCAGTGTGAATCTGTGTGAGGGGAATTAATGCTGATGGGCACTTAGCGTAGCAGCCTCCACCAACAGTGTGTGTAAACGTGTGTGAAGACCAGAATAAAAGAGTCCAAGAGTCTGCACGAACACAAACCCCCACAGGACAACCTCTCTCAGGTTTTACTCTTCCGCTTTAACATTTTCACAAAGTTTTCGAACAAACAGAAGTAAAAAGAATAAAATAAACATCTCATGCGTAATCAAAACTCAGCAAAACTCAGACCTCAGAGGGTAAACTCAGGAAGGCTGTTTGTGAGCTTATCACAGCTCAGAGCCCGAGGTTATCGAAGAGAGGGAAACAAAGAGGAACGCTATGATTAATTTTTGTAATTTCAAAGTGTGTGACTGCCGTTCTCCAGGCTTGTTTAGTTTTTTCAGACCTGCTGGCTGGTTCTGCGCAGATGAAATAAAAAGCAAACATCAGACCAAAGTGTCTCTGGAGGTAAATACTCTGAGCTCACATAGAGGTCCTTTAATGTCCAAAGCTGGTCACGCACACTGCAGGAGAAATATAATGTTCCGGCAAGGCTCAGGACTTGAATAATCAGAAACAAGTCATGTGTAAAAAGTATGGGTGCCACAGCAGATCACATTCATATGGTTTTTAACCAGGTTATAACAAGGTAATGTCTCAGGTTATAACCAGGTTATAACCAGGTAATGTCTCAGGTTATAACCAGGTTATAACCAGGTTATAACCAGGTAATGTCTCAGGATATAACCAGGTTTTAACCAGGTTATAACCAGGTAATTTCTCAGGATACAACCAGGTTATAAATCATCAAATCAAATCAAATCAAATCAAATCAAATCAAATCAAATCAAATTCAAATCAAATCAAATCAAAAATCAAATCAAATCAAATCAAATCAAATTTTATTTATATAGCGCCAATTCACAACAGTCGTCATCTCAAGACGCTTTCCAAAGAACAAGAGCAGGTCGAGACCACGCTCATTGTTTGATGATCAAGAACCAACCTAAGATGGGTTTTGGCCCATCTCAACTAACATGAGTAGCAGTGGCAAGGAAAAACTTCCTTTTAACAGGCAGAAACCTTGGGCAGGACCAGACTCATGCTAGACAGCCACCATGCCGCTGCTGGGTTGGGGAGGAATGTAGAGAGAAGAGGGGAGAGGAGGAGAGGACAGGGGAAGGGAGAGAGACAGCAAGATAGGGGAAAGGCGAGAGAGAATTAGTACGGAGAGGGAGGGGGAGGGAGAGAGAGTAGGGAACGAGGGTGAGAGAGAGACAGGAGGCAGCAGGAACAACAGCAACAACGACAACAGCTCATGTAATGGTGAAACAAAAAGACGTTCAGTTTACAGGTTTAGGATATGAGTGATAATGGACAATGTTGAATTAATTGAGTGTGATTACAGTTAGCAGGCTTAATCGTAGTCAGTTCTATTTTGTATGTCAATAATGACAGTGAGGCTGATGTTCATGTCTGCAGTAACAGTAACCAGGTAACCTCTCAGGATATAACCAGGTTATAACCAGGTAATGTCTCAGGATATAAGCAGGTTATAACCAGGTAATGTCTCAGGTTATAACCAGGTTATAACCAGGTAATGTCTCAGGATATAACCAGGTTTTAACCAGGTTATAACCAGGTAATTTCTCAGGACATAACCAGGTTATGTCTCAGGATATAACCAGGTTGTAACCACGTAATGTCTCAGGTTATAACCAGGTTATAACCAGGTAAAAAAAAAAGATTGAGATAGCAAGTGAAAATTCAGCTTCTGGTCTGAACCAATCTTTGAGTTAAAAGTTTAATCTAACAAATACAACAATTGTTAATTTGGTAGATATAATTTCCAGTATCTACATTCACACCTAGATGCTCACCTGTGCTGCTCTAACAATCTTGTGTTTTTACTCTTTCTCAGGAGCAGCTCAGTGTTCCTTGAAGAGAGCTTCATTTTCTCTTCGCCTACACTTGAGCATCACATCCAGGTGTTAAACTAGTCCTCCCTTTTTAATAAGTTCCATTTTCTGCCCTAGGTATCTACCATTTAACAGGGAAAGCCTCTGCAATAACAGTGTAATTTCTCTTAGACCGTGTTTATGTGTTTCCGACCTCGCCGGCAGACTCTTTCAGAATACCAATGTGCTTAGAGTGCACACAAAGGAGAGACTAAAACCCATTAATCTCTCCTTTGCTTCAGATAAAAACTGAGAATACTTTGTGTTTGCTGATGTTTGATTAACAACCCGAAACCTCTCCTCAGGGAGACAAACATATTATTAATGAACTTCTGTTTGTTAAGAAAATTGAGCCTGGGTATAGTGGTGTTATAGTGATGTGCTGTTTGTTTGCTGTTCATTACACAGGAGAATAACCACTTACACCTTCAACAGACAGTACACTAACTTAGTGTGCCCAAACATATAAACAAATATCATAAGACAGCCTGGTGCTATCACTGCTATCTCCTCTAAAATGGGGCCCAGCTGCTCTTAAAATCTAGTCCAAGTCTGTAGTTTGTAGAGAATCTGACTGTCTGTGTGGTAAATGGTCCATCTGGCTGACTCTCACAGGTACTCTTCAGATAAGAGCTCAGAGTGGCAGCATGTTTGTCTGTTTCTGTGAGTGTTTATCTCTGAGGCTGAGGACAGTTTACTCTGAAGGACCTGAACCCTGTGAAGAAGCTCTCAGACCACTGAGTGATAGTGAGACTGAGGGCAAGGATGATTGTATGTCTGTTTTCAGAAGATACACTCCACTGACATGCTGCGAGTTCTTGCTTTGTTTTCAGACTTGTATCTTCTGTCAAGATAAGGGAAAAAAAAAACTTTGGGAGGCAGACAGTCTCACAGATGTAACAATAATTACAATTTTCATATAAATTATTATTATTAAATTAAGTTTTGTTATTGTGTTTTGGGGTTTTTGGTTGTCCTTTGCCCAGGTACCAGCAGGTAGATTAATGTTGAACAGAGGGCTCTGATGATGGGACTACAGTGTAAAGGTCCTTACACACCGGATACGTTTTTTTTGTGTGATTATTTCGGACGTCAGTTTTTTTTTTTCTAACTTGTATCCTGTCAATACAATCGTTCCTGTCCTGCGGTATTGCGGCATTTATTTTTTTGTATCATAGTTGAATTTTCTAAAGTTTCACATACTGTGTGTCCACTTCTGACCAATCAGATTGCGTGTTGTTGCGACGTCAGATTCACCGGTATATCCAACATGGCCGACCGGCTGATTGTTTACGTGTCGGAGAACAGAGTGCTTTTTGATAAAAAAACACAAATATTGCAAAGATAATGACCCAAAGGACAAATTGTGAGTCATGGCGTTGGATTTCTCATATGACGATGGTTTGTGTGCTTTAACAGTTTGCCAAACTTCTTTGTTTTAACTTTCATCTGTGCTAAGTAACTTTGGCTCGTAAGCTATCCTGTCCAGATACAACATACCATATGTATTTTCACTGTCTCAAACTCAATCGCGTTGCTGTCACAGCACCATTAGGTCTCGGTTGTTACCTTATGTTTATGGATTATAGTTTAATGTGCTTATCTGGTACTGGCCCCGACTCAGTACATGCTATCATGACAGACAGACATCTCAACACTAGTGTCTAATCAGAACTGAAAAACACTCAGTCTGCTGTTGTGTCAGTCTTCTCGCTTCCACTGTTGACAAATATGTTATTAAGACAGCAAGTCGAGCACCTATACCTTGCCTGAGCTTCTGAGTTGTTTCAACATGAATTCAAGTGCACTGCATTAATGACGGAACAGCATGAAAAGTAGATGTTTGCCCTGTGAATATCATCATGTTTGAGGATCAGGATGCAGCTCTGTTGAGTTTATGAATGCCTCTATCTGCTGCTTTTTTGTGTTAAGTAGGGGTGGGAATCCGGTTCTTGTTGTCCAAATGGTTCGATTCATGGACATTGTTTACAATTTATCTCAATGATTCCTTTCTTCCGGCTGCCTTGAAAAATTGTCTTGCGAGAGCTAGTCTATGCAAATGAGAATGGAGAGTTCGAGCAAAAAAAGATGGAAAAGCAGGCAGAAATGATCTAAAGCGTGGCTTCATTTTACTAAGAAAGATGACGACAGCGCGACATGCAATGTTTGTCGAGCAATTGTAACATCCAAAGCTGAAAACACCAGCAACATGCTTAAACATTTGTCAACGGGGCACGGCATCAAATATAATGAGTCACATGTATGAGACGCTCTCAGCACGGCATGGAAGGTACTTACACCCTGTGTTAACATGAGCATAATGCAGTAAAAATGTATTACGTATTTGGCTTCATACTGACCGAAGTAAAAGCTGTACAAATAGTTTGTCGTTTGACTATTTTTAGACTCTGACTGAAGGTGGTGTACATCTTTTTCTGATATCAGAGACTCAATAAAATTTTGAGTTAATGGTGAAAATCTATAGTCTACTTTTTTTAAAATCAAAGAAAGGCATTGATAAGGAAATCTTTCAAGAATTTAATCGATAAGCAGAATCAATAATAGCATCAATACCGATAAAAATCTTATCAATTCCCACCCCTAGTGTTAAGATTATAAAGGTTTAGGAGACACTGAAGGTCAAACCATCTGAATCTGCTGCAGCCGCAGAGATCAGATGTTTTCTGTTGAGATGATTAGTGTTAATATGGAGGATGTTCAGAGACTGCATCCACACAGAGAGAATTAATATTTGATGAAGTAATCGAGGGTTCTCTCAGTGTTATGAAGAGCTTCATTACACTGACACCCGGGTGGTTCGCCCACATACAACACTAACAAATTAATGATATGAAACACAGAGGAAGGAATAAAAGAGTCCTAGTAACAGACAAATGCTGTGGCAGAGTTCACATTTATAATTCAGACCCTCTGTTTTAGAAGAAAACACATCAGGGCATGATGCAACAGAGTAATATTAGTAAGAAGAGCTCCAACATTTATCTCCAAGTATCACAGGAAATACTTGGGAGTCTAATGTCAGGCTCGTCTTGTTTAATTCATAACCCCTTAGATATCAGTCAAGCGCTTGTGGAAGTGAAGAACTGTATTTATGGTTTTGTGTATGAAGACGCTGAGAGATAAATAAAGGAATGACCTATTTTCAGTCTGTGAGTCAGAGATCTCTGATTGTGTCTCTGCTGCTGCTGCTGCACAATGTGCTCTGATTTCCCCCCCTCTTCCCCCTCTAATTGTGCTGCTGATTGAAGGGACGAAAGGGGAGGGGGGCACCTGTAATCAGGGAAGATTTCAGAGACAGAAAATGAATGTATGACGAGATTTATTCCTCTCATCTGCCTTTAATATCACTGAGTCCTTATATCCATAAATCTGACCTCGGTTCGCCTATTTTGAGCATTATGAACCCGAAAGCTGATGATTAATATTTCACTTAGAGATGCATGCATCACACAGTGTCGAGAGCCAACAACTGCCTGTAAAGGTTTTTATTACTATTATCTTTTTTGCACTTAAATTGAGATTTAGACGGTAAATAAGTGACTCCTGCACCGGCTGGAGTTAGAGGATTAACGATCCATAGGTGCGTAATGTGCACAAGTGAGTCACAGCATGCAGCACTGATCTCCTGCAAAGTGATCAGGATGAAGTTATTAAGAATTTGCATCACACTGACTCACATGACAACTCTGCTTATTGTGACTCTATAGATGGAAATGAAGGTTGAGTGGCATCACATGCAAAGATTATTCCTCTATTCATAAGAGCTGTACAGAGCTAAATATTACTATAACTCACCTGCTTACAATTTATGAAGATAAAAGTTATGTCCAAAAAGGGGATATGGCCTCTTTGAGTGACAGGTGGGAGCAGCTGGCTGTTCTTTTGGTGTCACTGCTGCTCTTTCATATTTCCTCCAAACCTGTTTCATTTGACATCTCAGTTTAACTATATTTACTCATGAGCTGTACCTTTTGTTTCCTAGACTTTATGATTTTTGACATTCTTATTGGATTTTAGGTTCCAGTTTTACTTACACACAGCCCCCTTGAGTTATTATTTTGTAACTTTTAGAGAAAGTGAAGTAAACATCATTCAGAGTCCCATGTCATTCTTTTATTGATAGACCTGTTGCTCCCCCGTGTACCAACAAGTTGCAGAGTGCGTGACTTTATCCAGCTGCAGCGGACCAGAAAATAAATTCATGTTTCTGTCAACAAGAGACATCAGTTTAGACGATGATAAATAACCCAGAGCACTCCAGGAGACAGGGTGCTGAAACACTACGTAGTTTGCATTATTTAATTCTCTAGTCTGCACTCTTTATCATCTCTGACTTTTCTCCAATCACTCTTTTATAGACTAGTCAATCCTTTCTTCAGATCAATCTGGATAGGTAAATTTGAAGCTCAAAATCAGATTAAAATCTGTCAGAAAAATCTTTCTTGAATGACAAGAGGCAGACAGCAGAGTTCAGAGCATGTTATCAAAGTACATTTAATTTTTGCAAGAATGGAGCGCAAACAATTTATCAAGTAGATCCACAGAAGAGGTCCCTGATTGTGGGGTTTCAAAGTCTTTTATCCTCGTTTTCTTGGATCTTCGTCATTATTTCCAAATATGGTCAACAGACACCCTCAACAAGTAACACTTGCCCTTGGTTTCTCTCTATTCATCATGCATCTGTCTGCTGTTCTTGCATAGTTAAAACATCACAGTGACCTTCTACTTCACATAATCTTTATTTTACTACCTCTATGCACAGCTTAGAAAGCAATTTCCTATGAAAAAGTTCTCAGACAGGCCTTGAATCCTGGGTTGGGTGTTTGCATTGTGATGTTTAGTGTATCTTGTTCATATTTCATGCAGACACTGGCGCTGCTATTTGAATACAGGCTCAGAGTTCACAGAACAGGATTATAATTCTGTTTGTCGGCTCTGCTGGGTACACTCCTTGAAATACCAGATGTGACCCAAGAGGATGAGTCTATTTCAGATGGAAGACATGGTTCTCCAGAGAGTATCGCTGCACAAAATATCAAAATTCATATATAACATGGCCGACCACAGTATTGTGAATTTCATATCTGGAGCATATCTGATAACAATGATGGGACCACACAGTCCACACAGCGGCTATTGATGCACAGGTGCGACCACTCAAATCTGCAGGGGCCCAGCAGAGTGCGCTGTGCTGCATCAGTGCAGAGTTTCTCATACCAAATACTTAAAGGGATATTCCGGGGTAAATTTAAGTTATGGTCAAGCACACCGTAACACTGAGTTAGACACCCCCTCGGAGATGAATGTTGCCAACTGCTTGCTTCTCTAGTTTTACCAACTTCAGCAACGACCGCACAACAGCAATACACAGCAGTCTCTGTCTCCATGCGCAAACCTCAACCAAAAAGCCCCTCTATAGCCACAAATAATGCTCAGAACAGCACCTAACTTCATCAACAGTACATTTCGGTTCCCAGCCATAGTACTAGCCACCAAACATCTTTTTAGCTTTGCCTAATTTCTTTAGCAAAGAGACTAAACACAACTCACCTACTCTCCTCCAGTAGCTACTTGTTTGTTGAGTTGATCACTGAGTGCAGCGGATCATTTCCTTGAAGTAATAATCACCATGAAGATGAAGTTAGGTGCTGTTCTGAGCATTATTTGTGGCTATAGAGTGGCTTTTTGGTTGAGGTTTGCACGTGGAGACATAGACCACTGTGTATTGCTATCGTGTGGTTGTTACTAAAGTTGGTATAACTAGAGAAGCTAGCAGTCGGCAACATTCATCTCTCTAGGAGGTGTCTAACTCAGTGTTATGGTGTGTTTGACCCGAAATTAATTTTACGCCAGAATGTCCCTTTAAAAGTAGAAGAGCAAAGGAAAGACTTTAGAGAAACTACTCAATATTACTTAAAAGCTAAAAACAACACAAACGAGCAAACAAAAAAGGTATTTTATCCGGTTTATTAACCTACCTGTTGCACATACAGTGCTAAAATAATAAATGCTAATACTGAACTGCAATAAAGCTCCATAACATGAGTTATACAGATGGTGGTGTAATTACAGGAAGGGTTTGTCATATTCCCTGAATAGTCTTTCTGAGACCTGGACCCAGATGGACATTAGATTGTGCCATCCCATCCAGAGCTTAAAGATCAGTCCACCCTGAAGCTCGCACAGGTCTGCCATGTCCCCCATGTATTCTACTACTGCCAGCCAACAGTCCTAAATGCACTAGTAGTAAGAGTAAGAATCAGAACCAACTGTCTGTCCTAACTGAAATACTGTTTGTCTATGGCTTTGTTGATATAAAACTCGACCTGCACTCGTGAGAAATGAAGATATCCAGTGAGGAGAACTGTGTCAGGAGGAGTGAAATGAAAATAACTATGAAAACAAAAATGTTAAATGAAATGACTTATTCGATCAGATAAACTGTGCTTAGTTGATTTGTATCGTGGTCCAGTTTCCACAGTCCTATAAATGAAAAAAAAAGAACAAGCAGCTGATCAGAATTCACCGTCAGTCCCCTCTCTTTTTCATGTTTGTTGTATTTTGAAGTTTTGCCCTTTTACTTTGATTCTCCTCCCCTCCTCCTCAGCTTGAAGTAAAACCTCAACATCTCAAAAAGTCAGCGAAAACATAACCTTTGCTTTGAATTTTAATCCCCGTCTTCAGGCACTGGGAGAGAACCGGGATT